ACACTGTGGGACAGTGGTTTGTGTCAATGTCAATGTTGATTTATTTTCTTTTTTATGTCTCATTTACAACAACAGTAGTTGCCCAGTGTACTTCACATGCACAACAAATGGTAAAAAAAAAAGAAAAGAAAAAAAAAATCACCAAAGCAAAGAAATGGGTCTTAAGAGCATATTTAAAAGATTCTAGAGAGGGAGCTGCTGTGATGTGCAGAAACAAATTGTTCCACAGTAGAACCTATTGAGCACATTTAATAAAAGCTTTTCTGATCTTGCTGATCTGACAGAGACACAGTACCTCACACAAAGAAGACTGGGTCGCATTCTGGACTGACACAAGGGTTTTCTGTGTGGAGTTTGCATGTTTTCTCTGTGCTTGCGTAGGTTTCCTCCAGGTGCTCCTGTTTCCTCTATCATTAAAACTTATACAAAAATGTTCCTCTTTGGGGCCAGGACTCCCCTGAAAAAGAGATTATTCATCTCTGTGGTAAAATAAACAAAATATGGAGAAGTTTGAATGCAATTGAACATCTCCCTTGAGACAAGCAGGTGATGAACAGTCCATCAGAAAAGTTACACAATGCTCTTTGAAAATGTAATGTAATACTTTATTTTGCAGAACAGACAGTGCATACATTTAATTATAAATTGTATTAAAAAGCAAACAACAACACACTACTGACTATTGTTATGAATAAAGATTAACCCCATCACCCAACCAAATGTTTGACACAAACTGTTCAGAACTCCTTGAGACTTAACTCACTTCTCTGAGTCCATAGTCCATGTCAACACGCTGGGCTCGTTTCAGTCTGTACAACCTGAGGCCACGGGGAGTAATCATTACACATTTGAGCTGACAAAGGACTCGTGTGTCGCTCTGACTGGGCCCATGGCAGCGCTTGGATTTTTAAAGTGCTTTGACCTTCACACTCCTCCTGTGTCCACTTATTTATCTGAAGTGTTTTGTGGACATAAAAGGTGTGTCGCGTCACGCAAGGATGTGGTCAGTGGGTCCCTTGGGTGCTTGAGTGAGGCTCCAGCAGTTTGTAACACGGCTACACCCAGAGAAGACTGCACTGGTCTGCTGAGCTTTAGAGACCAGTCCGCAAAGTCCACGGTTTGATTAGTCTCCACTGTGAAATGGGGTAAATCTGGAAAATGATAAAAGGTTTTGGAGTTTGAGATGGATTATAGCCTGTAGGGATGCATCCAGCTGATTCTTATCTCATCTGGTCTTTTGGCAGGGAAAATGTGCACTGCCTTTTGTCCCATTCACACATCTTTTTATGTGGAACTGCTGGCCTTGTAAGAAGTTACATAACAAAAAGTAATCACCTCAGTGATCAAATTAAATGCATTTTCTACATACAACAGTGTTCTGTTTCTTTTTCTGTGTTGTAAGAATTCCCAGCTCAGACAATTAGTTTCTTCCACTCTTGTGCATTTTGCGCTTATTAATGCCTTGTACTGCCCTGTCTGAAAACAAAATCAAACAAACTTTAGTCCATAGACCACAATGGATGCAGATGAAAATGTTCCTTGTAGTTGTCTTCCCTGGAGCTGTGGGCTGATATCCCTCTGTATTAAAACTACAGAGATTCTGGACTTGCAAGGCTAGTGAAGAGGAGGAACAGGCTGAGAGGGCTCGTGGTTCTGCTACTAAAGTATTACATATTATTGTACCACTGCCCCTATTGACACGGAAGCTTTTAATAAGAGCAAATGAAAACTGTAATCAAGAATTCGGCAGAACGACTGAGGACAAAGTGAACAATGAATAAACAACTGCAAATTAAGGCACTTACACCTCATCACAAAGCCATGACCCCATAAATGCCCCTGAAACATGATGTGTGCTTTTGAAATGATATAAATAGAATAGTCTTTGTAAATAAATTGAGTGGGAGTGTTATATCTTACATTCATGGAGGTAAAATAAATGAATCTACCTCAATATCTGTCTCAGCAATTTAAAGGTTCTGCATCATGCAAAATTGGCTCCTGTGAGCTTTAAGCCATGTTACAATGGTATTACCTCATCAAAAACATACCTAGAGTGGTGTTTTGTTTCATTCACACGTCTGAGTAATCCTTTATTCTTAGTCTGTCTACATTTCCAAAGCTCAAAATCCTCTGTTACACCTTCATGAAGCATTCGTTTTCAAGTTAACAACTACCTTTTAACTTTAGTTTAGTAGAGATGGGCAATTCCAGGGCTGAATTCATCTAAATGATTCTAATGAAGGGATATGGAGTTTAAAAACACAATGGAGCACTTCCTGTATTACCACATGCCATCACAAGGCGAAACAGAGTGCCTTCTTTTGAACTCAGCCTAAATATGCAGGTTTGGTGGGTTGAACATGTGTGAATGAAACAAAAACACAACTCCAGGTATGTTTGTGATGAACAGACAACAATATTAAGACACAGATCAGGAAATAGTGTAATATGGACCCTTTAACTCTTTAATTCAATCATTCCACACAGCCTGCTGAATTTCCTTTTTTTTTTTTTTTTTTTCTGGGAGTTGATAGCCTTTCATAGAACAAAATAAGCCTTATTGAGCTGGTACTGGCGTGCTTCATGGACTACCCACTGAAATGAGCAAGACAAACTGAACAGCCTATTCTTTACTAGTTTAAATAGAACACAGATCTTGGAAACAATTATCAACAGAAAGCAAACCATAGGAGTGAGTGCCATTTCTCTGCCCACTCCAGCCAACCATGACTTCTCTCTGGATTTCAAGTGACAGAGCCTCAGCAAGCTTAGACTGCAGACGAAGAGAGGACAGATACAAAACAGTTATCGGCTTCCTTCTCTCTCTGTAACTCTCACACCCACACTCTATAAGACACTTCCCATTGTTTCATATTTAATATCCCCTGTACTTAATAACAGCACTGGCTGGCTGTGAAATTAGCTTTTGTTGAAACTGTAAAATCGGTGCATCAGAGCCAAACTTGGAGGAAGTGTGGTCTTCCGTGGAGCCACTTGTGAGTGGAGTGGGTGGCAGTGGTCAGGCTTATGTCCATTATAGGTTCTATCAAAGGGTTTTAAGGATTTTAGAGGATTTCTACTTAAAAATGTTGTTGTTTCAAGTATCAACCATCATCTTCTAAGGTACAGATGTTCTCTTCTGGTAAAAGGTTTGAAACACTTGCAGTGAAACTTGCATGGTCTTCTCAAAAGGCCTGTAGAAAAGTGCCCCATTGTGAGAAGTGTAATCAGTAGCTCTTATCTTAGGGCATAAAAGGTAATAATGGACTCACACTTGATGTTTAACAGCCACATCAAATCAATAACATCTGCAGCCTTTTACCATCTGAAAAACATAGCAAAAATCAAAGGTACACTGTCTAAAGCAGACTTGAACAATCTTATCCATGCATTTATCTCCAGTAGGTTAGCCTACTGTAACAGTCTGCTCACTGACCTCTCCAAACGACCTGTGAGACAGCAGCAGTACATCCAGAACTCTGCAGCTCGGGTCCTGACTTGAGCCAGGAAGTATCAACACATAAGTCCTGTGCTCAGGTCTCCACACTGGCTCCTGTGGCTCACAGAATAGACTTAAAAGTGGCTCTGCTTGTGTACATGTCTCTCTATGGCCTAGCACCAAATTACATCTGACATGTTACTGTCATTTGAACCATCTCGCTCTTTGAGGACCTCAGGGACCAGCCTCCTGCAGGTGCCCAAAGTCAGGACTAACCACGAGGAGTCAGTGTTTCAGTTTTATGCAACTAAAACCTGAACAGTCTTCTTGAAGATGGTAGACAGGCCTCTACTTTGACAAAACGGTTCTGTGCATATGACTGAAAGGTTTTCATTCTGCTCTCTCTCTCTCTCTCTCTCTCTCTCTCTCTCTCTCTCTCTCTCTCTCTCTCTCTCTTTCTCTCTCTCTCTCTCTCTCTCTCTTTAATTTTATGATGATTATTTCTGTTTTGATTTGTGATTTTAATGTATTTCTTATCACTTTGAATTACTTTGTGTACTAATGCTATACAAATAAACTTGCCTTGCATTATTGGAAGGTTGTTGGAAGGGTATTGATAAGACACTTCATCCATCTTGTGGTGTGAGGGATCGAACCATCAAACAGTTCACATGGAGAGTTACTGTTCCAAACTGATTGAGGATAAATGCACTAACAACATTCAAAAGAACACTAACCACCCTCAAATAAATTATCACCAGAAAATACCATGGCCATAGTTAGTGGCCAAGTGCTTTTTTTTTCTTCTTCTTCTTTTTTTATTAATTTCATTGCCTTAATCTTGTTATAATTCTTTTCACTAAATTTTACGTTTCAACTGGATGGATAGTGAATTTAATCCGCGCGCCTGTAATGATATGTACGAGAAAGCGTGACAGTGAGACGGTGGCCTGACTCCATACGTGTAGCGCCGTTCACAAAACGCCCCTCTCTCCGCTGAGGGTGGGAGACAGACTCGCGCAGAGCACTTGTGAGGACAGACCTGTTTCACGCTTTCAACAGGAGCCACGGCTCTTCCCGCGCGCACTCACGTCTTTGAGGATTACACGAAGCCGTTGACTGGAGAGGAGCGGGTGCGCCATCTAAGCGCACATCCAACAAGTGGATACGGGGAATGCCCTCATAGAGAGCAGAAGGCACCGAGGGGAAATAAAACTGAGGATCCGTGAAATATTCTGTGCCATTTGCAGTGTCTTTGATGTTTGGCTCCTCTGTCTTCGTGCGCGCGTCTGGTTAGTTTGCAATGACTTCTCTCTTTGTATAAAACCACGATGAGGTAGAACACCAGACTTTTACTGCCCGTATTTTCCTCAACTCTCAGCTGATCAAACGGGGCATTTCGGGGGCTGCGGAACCACCCCGTCCCCCGTACCTTTCCTACTCTCCCTTTATGAACCGCTCTCCCGGAGCCCCAGTGCCGTGAGCGTGGAGGGAAGTCCTCTCTCCTGACACTTCTGTATGACGAGGTCGCCGGTGGCGCTCAAAGGTCGCAGCCAAAATGCCGATGCATCCAGTGACATCCACGCTGATGTACCGGGGGATGTGCACCATCCCCGACATCCTCTCGTACAGCGCACCGGTCAATCTCCCCGAGGACGAGGTGGAAGGTGAGCGCGTAATTACCTGTTTGCATAGAAGCGGAGTAAAGCTGCATGACATTTATAGAACATATCACGATGCAGTTATGATAATGCAGAGCTGCTCAGAACCTTGGACAGCTCACACTGAGAATCACAGATGAAGTCCTCAAATACGAGTTTCAGATCGAGTTTGAAGACCATTAAGACCATGATAGCAGTGTGCTTCTATACTTAATTATGCCAAGAGCTAAATGTTGATATGTCTTTAATTGAATCCACAAGTTTGGCAATGTTTTTTATTGTTGAACCCCAACTATGGTGTAGCGCAGGATTAACTGTTGATATATTGTGTAGACCTTTATTCAGTTTATCAATAAATAGAATATTAGCTGGTTTCCATGCATTTCAGTGGTCTAAATATTGACCACAGTGAATATGGATTTACAACACAGCCAGATATGCATCTAAACTGTCACCGATCCATTTACAACTACCAGTTTAAAAAGCCACATTGCTAACTGCCTTAAACTCCTTCATATAATTATACTATTAGTGTATTCATGCTTGACTGTTTATTATAGACACATTTCTATGCAAAATGACTGAACAGCCTTCATTTTGTGCATTGCCGTGGTCACAACTCATTAACAACGAATACTATAACACAAATAGCAAATTTGTACATTTCCCAAAGCATTGCAACTCCCTCTGCAATAACATGCCTGGCACATGACTAGTCTGAGCCCTCAGTACCATGGGGATATGTGGTGCCCGCAGCTCTTTCCACATGTGTACATTACCATACAGTCAGATCCCAAGACTATACACTTGATTCCCTAGTGTCTTTTTGGCTGTCAGTTGTTACGAATTTGGCCTGCTACTGTTGTCTATCACCCAGCTCCTCTGCTTCATGTAATTCTCATCCGCATTCACCTAATTCTGTACATGTTGTGAGACAAACAGGGCATATGCAGAGGATGCTGGAGTGGGAGATGGGTGGAGATGTGGTGTGGTTGTGTCTATAAAAAGCCTGTGTGAATATTAGGCAATGTTAGGAATGATCTGTCTTTGTGATTTTATTTTTATTCTATTCAAATGTTATGTTGATTAAAATAAGTTGTTAATTGAGATTTAATTGGGGCTGAACACAAGCATACATTTATCTGCAAAGTGCTTCACAAATTATGGAAAAATTCAGTTGACAGGAGTATGAAAAACTGTAACAGCTTTGAAATTGCATATTAGTAGATTTAAATTATAAGTGAAGTAAAAAAAAAAAAAATACCCAGATTGTTTTATTTATTCATTTTTTTAATCCAGCACCAGAGACATAGCACACTAGGGTGGAACTAGCACAGCTCTGCACTAGCACAGCATTGTGTAACCAACCACGCAACCCCCTATCCCTCTTTTGGTTGCTTTTTAAATATTTTACTGATAATAGTAAGAAAAAATAAAGTCTGGAGCATATTCTCATGAAGTCTGTAATGACTTTGTTGTGGCTGCATTTGTTGCATTTCACAGAAAGTGTCACATGCAGAGGCTGTTCAGCCTGTTCAGCACCATGGACAGCACCCAATGAAACTCACAGCTCAATATAGCAAGCACAAACTTTAGACCTGTCATTCAACATTTCAGAAATGTGTTTATTTATATACTTGCTTACAGATTAATACTTTAGGTAGCCTATATAGATAAATAGAGTAGTTTAGATAACATGATAAGTGCCCCTTCGAACATACACATTTTACAACGATTGTTATCATTAAACCTAATGACTTTTCCTTCAGACTCTGCTGAAGGAAAATTTTCTTGCAGACAATTTCCACTTTTCAACTAAAATCCGTTGTTCATCTAATATTATTAACTATCAAACACTTGTCATCAATATAAGTCATATTTGACTGTTTCCAGTGAAAATTGTTCATGGATGTTGATTCTGTTAATGTAGAACAGTCAGAACTGTGTACAAAATAACATTATTTTATAACTTTCCTGTGGAGGGTCAGCCAGTCTACCATGTGCCTGTCTCCATTGATCTGGAAGGTTCCACAAAATGGCATTAAACATATCCATCCCCATTACACAAGACAAGCAAGTGACTCCACCTAGTTTGTAATTGAAAAAAAAAAAAAAAAAAAAAAAAAAAAAATGCAAGTTAGGTAAGTCTGGTTCCCTAGTGTGAAACACAGTACAGAGTAATTGCATCTCCATGGAGACAAGCAGGTAGTAGATCCTTTTTTGTGGCAGTGTACCTTTAGGAGTCATAGTGACATTGACCATTCTCCACCTTAGTAGTGGCTATTACTATACTGCTGGGGGTGTTGCCTTCCTCAACTCAACCTCTCACAGACACAATGATAAAGAGACACCTCTCACTCGTTGTAGTTTGCTTAATTGCTTAAACTCATGCTATATTTTTAAAACTCTACCAAATGGTTCAGCTATATATTGTATATATCTTCTTCATCTAAGTCATGCTCAGTCTTGTAGCTCCACTTGTTGGGCTTCTAGTCTATAGTGGCTTTAAGGAGAAAAAGACAAGAGCCAAGGTAGAGCATTTAACTGGAGTGACAGAATCACTCCGAGCTGTTGTGAAGCATTACTTATTCCACGTGTCTTACAGTGACATGAGACACAAGTTGTTTTGAGCTTTATATATTTTTATGATCATGATTGTATGTAAAACACAGTGGTACATGTGGCAGGATTCATGACATGATTTTGTGTGTAGTATATTTGTGATCTGTTTATATTTTGTCAAAGATAGAGCATTGCAGCCAGGGTTGTCACAGAGCTTTTTCATCTCCAGATATGTTTTGTTTTACAATGATTCACGACTTCTTTATGATCATTACTTTTCTATGAGATCTGTATGTGGCCGCACTGTATAGAAGGAAGAAAATGATAAATGTTGCATTTCAAATGATTTCTCTATAGGAGTAAAGTGGTCATGAATATCATTTCAATAAAGCTGAATGACTCAGTGTTAGCATAGCTTTTATGGTAGCAGTAATTATAGCTATACAAGATGTTACCAACTGGAACATAGTCACTTTTGGATTGCACTTTTCTGGTTCTTGCCGAAATACAGACAGTAGGGGGTATGTAATGAACAATCAGAAATAGAGTTCTTTTTAGATAGATGGTTTGTGAGCCTTGTCTCCATGGAGATGTTATTACCTTGCCTGGAATGTTTCACAGGATGGCATTAACTTGTGATTTATCTCCTTGGAGGCAACAAGACAAGCTACCAAGCCAAGTTATAAGCCAGATCTGTGGAGAGTGGCAACCCTGTTCACTATGAAAGTGTATGTTTTCAGTGGATTTAAGCAACACCTGTAATTGAAAAAATGTAAAATAGATCTGTTTAATGCCATACAAGTAAATCAATAACATCTCCATGGAGACAAGCAAAAAAGTTACACCAGAAAACTTACAAAATCTAAAATACTTGTGATAAAAGTATTTATAAGAAAAATCTTAACAGAGATTTATATATTCAGTTTTCTTGTATTGTTAAAGGTGCGTTGTGTAACTTTTCTGGTGGAGGGTACGTCAAATGCTTTTCTTCATGGAGATGTTGTTGCTTTGTCTGGAATGTTTCACAGTATTGCATTAAAGCTTTCTCTCTTCAAGGAGACCAGGCCAAGTTATGAGTCAGATCTATGGAGAGGCCACCCCGTTCACAGTCAGAATGCCTGTTTTTCTTGGTACTTTGGAGCAGTAAAACCACCTGTCACTGAATAAATGTTAGGTAGATCTGTTTAATGTCATACTGTGGGACATTCAAAGCAGAGCAATGACATATTCATAGAAACATGAAGGTGACAGATAGCCTAAGGAAACCTTAACCAGTGCACTTTTAAGTAAATTACCATTGAATGTATTGCAATTTTGACCAGCGAGTAGCAGTTGTTTTAATACTTTGTGTCATTTGATAGCTGTCATTAAAAAAAACCCCAAAAACTCTGATGGTATTTTTTTCAAATCTGACACTCAACAGTTTTACTTTTTGTTGTTACTTTTCCGAGCACCGATTTTATGCACCCGCCCGCCCCTGTTCTGTCACATGCGCATCCAAACTCTAATTGATAATTGATAGTCTTCCCACACTTGTCCATCAGATTTTGACATCAGCGACATTTTAAAGTGGACTTAGTGATGAGAGGCGCACTGCACTGGCTGTCAGTCTGCATGTCTCGCCTCTAATCTCGCGAGGGAAAGACCAAAATTGGCTCCACATCTCCGGCATTCAATACATCAGCCTGGCCACAGGGGAGACAGGCCTTTGTCACCACATGAAATTGCACATTAGTGAATATATGTGTGTAAGTGCATGTAGAGGGACAGCAGGCTTATGACCTACTGACACGCAAGGCCCAGGATTTGATTTTCAATTACTGGCTTAAGTGTCTAGGGAATGCACACTGTTAGCAGCATACTTTGTCTGTCTGAGCAATAATAGGTTGCATTCACGTTCTAGTCTAGTCATAGTCTCAGTTGGTGGGCAAGGGCCTATATGACAGATTTGTTTTTTGAAAGAAATGCAAAGTTGATGTAGTACTTATGTGTACGATGTAGTACTTTTCTGTATGATGTAGTACTTATCATGACAAGCCCACGTTGGACCTAATCATTATTTAGGGATATGATCCACAAACTTGCCATATGAATCTCTTGTCGACTGATAACAATTATACCATTGGGGTTGGATAACTTTACGAAGATATTGTGAAAAAATGATTCCACTTTTGTTTATTTATACTGATAAAAAGATGTAACACTTTGTACCTTTTTTTGTTTCATGAGGATAGGGTCAGTAATTACACAGATATTAAAGGGAGGGTATTTTACTTCTTTAGGCTATAAACTGCTAGCCAGGCTGACACCACCTAGTGCCTCTGCTCAATGTAATTTCTCTTCAGTGACAAGGTCAGGAATGAGAATACACTAGATGGTTTGCAAGAACCCTGGAAGTTGTAGACCACGCACCAGCCAATAAGTGAAGAACTGTGAAGCCATGA